TGCGCCTGCTGTTGCGCCTGCTGTTGCGCCTGCTGTTGCGCCTGCTGTTGCGCCTGCTGTTGCGCCTGCTGTTGCGCCTGCTGTTGCGCCTGCTGCTGCGCCTGCTGCTGCGCCTGCTGTTGCGCTTGCTGTTGCACCTGCTGCTGTGCCTGCTGCTGCGCCTGCTGCTGAGCCTGCTGCTGCGCCTGCTGCTGAACCTGCTGCTGATCCTGCTGCCTGCGTTCCAGACTGTTGCCCGGCCGCCTGAACCTGTCGCGATCGTCAGACTCGTATTTCCACTGCCCAAACCACACACAGGACTCCACCTCCGGCAGCGTGGGTCGGTCCCCAGGGTCCTTGGCGAACATCATCAGCATGGCATCGGCGCAGTCCTGCGAGAGCATCTCCGAGAGCGGCAATTCCTTGTTGATGACCCTTTTTCGCCGTGCGTTGAGCGCTTGCTTTCGATCGGCGTAGATTGTCTGGTCAACCCCGGGTTGCCGCCAATCCTGCACATAGCCGATGTGCCGGTCCCACTTGGGGTCCTCCCAGGGTGCGATTCCGTGCAGCAGCTCGTAGATGTTCGAGGCCAGCACCCACAGGCCGGTCATCCGCTGGTCGTGGGGGAGCTTAATCTGGAACTGCGAATCCTTCTGCGCTTCATCTATATAGCGGGCCCTAAAGAGCTCGAGGGTCAATTCCGGCGTGAGGCCGCCTTCGTACGCGGGTACGTAGGTGAATTCTCCCTTGAGATAGTCGTTATCGGTGAGGGCGAATGTGTAGAGTCCGATGTCTATGATGATGGTCTATTTGTATCCGAATCTCACGAGTGAGCAGTCGTTCATATGGGAAGAAGCAAAAGAAGAGAGCATGAGAGTCGCGCACAGGGGAACCATCTCCATGGTGAGAGGGCAAGGATGAGGGGGGAAAAGGACGTACGTTCAAGTCTTCTTCTACGATGAAATTATCGTTCTTGAGATCGTCGTGGCAGATATGCATGTCGCGCAAATAGGCGACGCCTTCCAGGAGTTGAGATGCAACCTTGCAGACCATGTGCTCCTCCAGCGACGATTTCTTGTATCTTATGAGTTGACTGGCGGTGCAAGCCCCGAATTTCCGCGCGAGCAATTCGTCATAATCAGGGTTTTTGGGGGTATAAGAAGCTTGGGCAACGGCCTCATCGAGGTGGGCGGACATCACGATGGCCTGGTATAACTTGTGGGAGTAGACCGAGTCAAGGGTCGGGAACCGGCCACACTCGTTGGCAAGAAGCAGAATGTACGCCTCAACTGGGATGTAGTGGTGTTCATCGTCTTGTAAGAACAAGGGCGCCATTACCGGTGAGGGTCCAATCGCGCCGACAACCCTGTATTCCTCGTGATAATTCACCGTTGTGGCGATTGTAACCAGGTTCTCCATCTTGATAGCGTACAAGCGACCTTCATCGTCTCCTGAAAGAGAAGCATTAGTAAAAGGTCGCTCCATACAATCGCATAAGATTTTCGGGGCCAACTCACTTTTATGGGCAAGGAGGACAATACCGTAACCTAGTGAAGAAAAGGGTCATCAGTGAGCCGAGAGCATTTGCAGGACAGTGCCGTATGGGGGAGGACATACTTCCACTGCCGAGGATGCCCCGGATAACGAAGTGTTGTTTCTTCAGTATTTTGCATAGAGACTTCCATCTGAGACCTATCTTCCTAGCCTCCTCACCCCTGCCTACATAGAGTTCCGGGTGCCGTAGAAGCTGAGTCTGGTACTGGTGGCTATCGTATCTCTCGCCGCTATCCTTCTCGACGTGCCGGCATCGGGATACTTCTGTTTCCCGGCCAGCCAAGGCTGCATTATAGCGATGGGAGAGAACTTGATGAAGGCTTGGGAAATTACTCGCAAGGTTAGTGCCCGGCTCTAGGAGCTCACGGATGACTGCAGCGAGTTCTGAATCATATTTTCGAATGTGCCGGTAACTGTGGAAGTACTTAGGATCGTGCTTTCTGTCACGGGTGATCAGGTCAATAAGGTGTCGAAAATCATAGCCCCATCTCTGTACTGGAAAAGAACTCATAGTGACTCTCGGTAGTGGTTTAGATGAGTTCGTGATTCTGTTGAGCAAGGACCATATAGTCTAGCGTTTTATCTGGATACCCCTCATCGCCACGGAAGCCATGGGGGGACTCCATTTTAAATGAGTTCTCTTGGTCCCTTTGGATGAGATTGAAAGAACTATCAGGAAGAAAGCAGTTGATGCTGGAGAGATTCAGTGAACAATGGCTCATTCTAGTGGTGTTGATAGTACGGCGGGAATCATAAAGCTGGAGGTCAGTGTATGAAAGCTATTGCGGGAACAGTCCATTGTGTCGGCTGGCTCGACACAAAGCAGGAACAAGACATGAAGCCGGTGGCTCAACAAAGAAGCCAGAGCTTTTACTAGAATTGATAAAGAGTTGATGAGCGTCAAGTCACAAAGACCACAAAGAAATAAATATTACCATACCTAAAAAAGCAACAATCCCCATGTCTTCACTCGTGCTTGGCCATGCTATCGCATTCTTGCGTTTCTTCTTCAATGAGCCCTAACTCTGAAGAGCAGGCAAATGCAATAAAGTCTGATAGTTAGTAGGTAGCTAGCATAGACCAATGATGAGGACAGGCCCTTGAGCTGGGCTCACATCGCTCGAACCTGAACCTGGTAGAGTCTACACCTGCAGGAGTGAGAGGGTGAGTCACACCTCGACTGGCCTATCAGCATGACGATGTACAAGGAGGCTTTGCGCGTTTTCCCGTGGCTGTCGCCTGGGTAATGCTGCTGAGACTTGATGAACTGGGCACGTCTGGTATAATGGAGGAGGGTTCGCAACCACCAACCAGCGCGGTCAAGGTCTTCTCCTATGTCCGAAGACGGTGTTTCCTAAGAATAGGAAAGCCTCCGATTGCAGTGCGGATGCTTGCAGGCCTGAGCAGCTCAGCACTGGGCAAATGGTAATAGCGGTCACTTCTCTCTTTGCCGTGTGCAGCGGAAGTGATGGAAGTGATGGAAGTGAGTGAAGTACTGAAGTATGTCGCGCCGCGTCCATGGCATCTTCCATACATATGCAACGCGATAAGGGATCCACCTGGCCTGTGGTGAAGTACAGATCCATGTGGTCTTGTCCAATGTTTTGCACCTTTGCACCTTTGCAGCTTTGCAGCCGGGCGCTTCAAGCGCCACAGTGGCTTGGCTGCATGATCCTGACCGTGCAAGTTTCCCCACCACCCAATCGGCAATCGCCTTCGTTGGATGGGAGTGTTGGAACTGATCGCTGAGTGGCTACTAGGTACAAAACAGAGCTTTCTGTTGCCTGGACCGAAATTCAGCCACTCTGCGGGCAAAGGGGGTGAAGCTGAGGGATTTCTCTCGAACCCACGCGGTGATACCTAGTACTGTAGTCACTGTACCTAGGAGTTGTTGGAGTTGTTAAGCATTGTAAATCCAACTTCACCTTGGCATCTGACATAGCTGGCTGTTGGTGTTTCTCATCCCCTGCATAGCCCCAATCTCAGATCTCATTGCGGCTGAGGCGTAAGAATACTAATACGAGGCCGTGGTCTTCGGAAATGACGAAGGCGACAAAAAGGAAAGAAACCACGGAATACAAAAGAGGCGGGAGGGAAATTACTGGCATCCATCATCGAATCCAGTTCAGCCTGACCCTTCACTGTTGCCCGGGCTCTTTTCTTTATGCGCCCTGCAAATGTCACAGGCACGCTGCCCTCAGATGGATGGATGGATGGATGGATGCTTGGTTGGATGATCAGAGAGACAATCAGTCAGGCAGTCAGTAAAAGAAAATCACGACTTACCTCTAATTCCTTTCGGGGGATTTTTTTTTCCTGAGAAAACCGTGAGGTTCGGGGATTCTCTCTAATGACAAGGCAGAACGCAACGAGCATCTGCCCGGTCTGAAACATTCTTACAGCCTGTTTGTCGGACGTTGGAGTGCCGGAGACTGCCTCCAGTCCGCTTTACGGACTTCTTTCCTCAGTATATATGACGCACGCATGTGTGCTTGATAGCCAACCCCCCTCCCCCTTCCAAAACATTTCCAGCTGAAATTCTCAGCATATATTGTCATTCAGACCCCGGTTGTCTCTTGTCAAGTCTTTGATGCTGTGACTATTGCTTTCTTCATCCTCCAACTCACTCTTCACTCACTGTGATCCCATCCATCCACTCCAGACGGACCCGCCTCCTACAGTATGGCGAAGATCAACTCAGACAACCGGGTTCCGCCTGTCCCTCCAGTCCCGCCGGTTCCTCCTATTCATCATCCACCAGTTCAGTCAAACGAGCACCCTCGTATAGTATCAATCAACCCCCAAGATCAAGCGAGTCCAGACTACTTGATCAACTCCATGAACCGGCTCCATGTACAGACCGAGAAGGCTTCCAACAAGAACACGCCGAAGCCAGGAGGCATAGCTGCCATGAATGACGTTGATGCTGCTGCTCCCCTCTTCTACTTGGGGTATACCTTCTTCAAGGCCACCCCCACCCCCGGGAAGAAGAGCACCTGGAGTCAAGTGGAGAGAGCGAAGATGAACCTTAGCCAATCAGACTTGATGAACATGGTGGTCAACCGGACCAAGAAGCTACCCGTGGCCGAGCAGTACCATTCTTTGTCCAAGGCGAAGCGGGCCCACGTCGACCAACTAATTCATGAGCTTAGGTCCAGCGGTCCCCGATTCGAATGGGCTTGCGTCTATGTGAAGGAGGACGAGAAACCTGTTAGGGGCAAGAATACTCGACGCGGTGATTATGAGACGGTCTCGTTAGAAGTCATCATCCGGAAGAAGGCTGCAAGTCTGGTATACCCGCAGGTTTCTGTCAATGAACCTGTGGAGAGAATAACCCCTACCGGAGACACCTTTCAAGCCCCTAGCAGCTATACTCTGTTCAACAGGGAACCCAGGTTGAGCCAAACTGTTCCTCCAACCAATCCATTGGCCAGGCACGCAGGATCTGCCGTCCCCCAGAGGCCCGCCGTCCATCAAGGGTCTGCTGTTACTCAAGGGCCTGCCGTGCTTCAGGAACCTGCCACCCATCAAGGAACAGTGCCCGCAAGAATGGCTGATATCCAGCAGCCACTGCCTTTCAGGCCGAATCACCAGCCTCCACCTCCTCCACCACAGCATTCATTCCCGACAGGAGTACAGCGGCCCATTCCCCAGGAGCAATGGGCGGCTTGGATACAGCAGGGGATGCCAGCTGCTGCGCACCCACAATATCGTCCTTCTGCAGGAACTCATGATTCTGCAGCCACTCTTACAGAGCATGAGACGCAAAGGGGCATCCCACAGATGCCAACCATGTGGAATGATCCTCGCGGAGCTTCTGTCACACAGGGTCCGGTCCATCGAGGTCCCAATATTCATCTCCAACCCAGCCCGTTGAAGCCACCCGAGTTGCATGAGCTGGGTAAGACCAGGGCTCATACCCCCACGCATCCTAAGCCTGATCATATCAACGCAGCAATGCCCGTCGCAGAGCCAGAGACAGACTTAGGCATGGAGTCGAGTAATGTGGGCGATGGGGAGTCTGAGTTCGACTTCGACGACGAAAGTTCAATGTCCGAGGGTTCGGATGAGGGGTCAGAAGCCGAAGAGAACCCTCAACCTCAACCATGGCGAGGCAGTCTCTACCGTCGCCATTCGGCCCCCAGCACCAAGCAGGTTTACCGGACGCACTATCGCAAACAGCCTCAGAAAAGCAGTTCAAATCAGGGGACAGGTCGCAATGGTTACCCTGCTGGTTCCATTGATGTGGTCCCTGCCAAGAGTAATCACAACGACCCTAGGGTCATTCTCAGCCGAGAAGTTACACGGCCGGCCCGAGATCGGCCCAAGATCATCCAGGCGCCTGTTCCTCCCGAGGGGTTAGACATGAAGCAACTGGTCGAGGAGAGAATTGGCCGCTATGATGGCGGACGGATGCGAAACGATATTCGAACGCGGATGTTGGACGATCGGGAGGCGCGACTGGAGCATCGCGAGAGACTATTGGACCTCAAAGCGCGGGTCCTGGAGGAGGAGTGGGACAGTGCATGTTACCTGCCCCGACGCATGTCACTCCGTGACTCAGGGTCATTTTATGCCCGACGATATCGTCCGTTGGACGATCTTCGCTGAGGCTCTCCCTTAATGATGATGTACCCATGTGCTTCTTGATTCTTATGGTGGATCGGGGGGTTTGTTTTCTCCGGTTAAGTTCTCCGTTTAATTTTCGGGCGTTTCCTCGGGTGAAGGGGGGATGTGGGTATGCTATAACGTCATTGCAGCGGGTGTGTGTTTTGGAGGTTGGCAGAGAAGTTTAGTTTCAACACCAATTTAGTTTGATGGATACACCTGGCAATCAATTGAAGCACATGAATCGAGGAGAAGTACTCCGTAGCAGACAGGCTTTGCAGGTCACGCGAATTGTTACCCAATTGCAGTAAGGCGAAAAGCAGCAGGGAAGCAGCAGAAGAATTGATGCAGAAGGAAAGCTTCCGGCTGCCAGCTCAGAGGCAGAGGCAGAAAGTAAGTGACTTATCGATAAGCCCCGCCATCGACCCTCCCACTCAAACCCAACCCTTCCCTTTCGTTCACACCGGCCCGAGCCCCGCCGTGCTTCTCGCTCTCCCCTCCCCCTCCGTGTTTCTCTCGTCTTCCTCGTCGTCATTCATTTCTTCTCATCTTCCTCTTCTCTTCCTCTTCTCTTCTCCTTCTTCTCTCCTTCATACTATTCCTCCTTCCAATCCACCCTCCCACTGTACCTACCCCTCTTCCGTCTCTCTTCTCGTCTCTTCCACTCACACAACCAAACTCTCCAAGATGCCTCGCCAATTCTTCGTCGGTGGTAACTTTAAGATGTACGACCTCTCCCAATCCCTGTTCAGCTTGCAGCAGCAGAAATGAAAACAAACAAATCAGAGCCGAACTAACACTCAATCACCACAAAAGGAACGGTACTGCCGAGAGCATTACCTCCATCATCAACAACCTCAACAAGGCCAAGCTCGACGAGTCCGCCGAGGTGGTCATCTCCCCTCCCTCCCTCTACCTGCTCACTGCCCGCGAGGCTGCCTCCGACAAGATCGGCGTTGCCTCCCAGAACGTCTTCGACAAGCCCAACGGTGCTTTCACCGGTGAGATCAGCGTCGAGCAGCTCAAGGATGCCAAGATCAACTGGACCATCATCGGCCACAGCGAGCGCCGTGTCATCCTGAAGGAGAGCGACGAGGTATGTTTTCATGTCAACCAATTGACATCTCTTCCCCCACCTATGATAATCTCCAATGGCTTGGGCTAATGTTTTGGTGTCTGTTAGTTCATTGCCCGCAAGGTCAAGGCCGCCATTGAGGGTGACATCAGCGTCATCTTCTGCATCGGTGAGACTCTTGAGGTATGTTGTGTGGATCCCTTTGGGTAGTTGTGGCATCACTACCCCACTTTGTAGCTTAGCTCCTAGTACTTGACCTTGGTGGTGGTGGTGATGATGGTATGCTGACATGTTGGGGATTTACAGGAGCGTGAGGCCAACAAGACCATCGACGTTGTCACCAGACAGCTCAACGCCGTCGCCAAGGAGCTCTCCAAGGAGCAGTGGTCCAAGGTTGTCATTGCATACGAGCCCGTCTGGTACGTTGCCGACCTAACTAATGTAACAAGTCGAGTTTCAGAATGCTGACATTCTCCCAACAGGGCCATTGGTACCGGCAAGGTCGCCACCACCGAGCAGGCCCAGGAGGTCCACGCTGCCATCCGCAAGTGGCTCTCCGAGGCCATCTCCGCCGACGCTGCCGAGAACACCAGGATCATCTACGGTGGTTCCGTCAGCGAGAAGAACTGCCGCGAGCTGGCCAAGGAGGCCGATGTCGATGGTTTCCTCGTTGGCGGTGCCAGCTTGAAGCCTGCCTGTACGTTTTTCCTTCCCTTGAATCGATGCTCGGTCTACAAACTAACAGCCACCAGTCGTCGACATTATCAACGCTCGTCTGTAAGCACTCACGACTCTCGTCTGATAACGTGATATGATACCCGATCAAAGTGCCAGCAACGTCAACCCCCTAATCCGACATGCTGGCCCTGCTGGTAGGGGCTAATGTGAAAAGCATCTCCTCCATGCAAGGCGGGGTACCACCTCCCTCCGCCTTTACTATATGAAAGTGCATATACCGATGAGGACTTTGTCCATCCAAATACCACAAAATCTATATTTTCTTTAGTCTCGAATAACCAACTTCAGATAACTGCTACGCTTCGTAGAATCCAATAATACAGTATATGTACAGCCTCTCATACAGCCAAAACTCTGTCAAGAAGAATACAAGACCGAAATCCCAACCCCATGCCAATAAGACTTCCCAACCCCGGCACTACCACCCCCGGAACTCTGCGCACCGGCCGCACTCAACGACGAGAGCGACGAGAGCGACGAGGCAAACGAGCTCGGCCCCAGCCCCACACCGGCACTAACCAACAGCTCCTTCACGCGGCCCTCCCACAGCAACCGCACATTCCACGACTGATCCACGCGAATTTTCAGGACCGATTCATTCGCTTCTTCCTGCCCGGCGGTCTTTCTGACCGGGTGTAGTTGTCCCAGGGGATCCGTCTTCCGAACGGGAGAAGGTAAAGGGGGGTGTCTCTCCCCGCGCATCTTCCGTCTCGCCCATTCCAGCCCGTCATCGTCGGGATCATCTGCGGGCGCCGCGCGCCGACTCTTCCGCCACAGTTCCATGCCGGCGACCATCTCGCTTTCCCAGCTGTAGACGTTGAAGCCGAAGCGCGAGCTGAAGGCCAGGTTGGGCGAGGCGCGCAGGGAGTAGGTCGTCGAAAGGGAGCCGGTTAGTGGTGTGAGGGTTAGAGTGAGGGTGTAGGGGAAGGTGGAGATGGGGTTGTTGCTGTTGCTGTTGTTGCTATTGCTGCTCGCGCTGCTGGTGGACGAACAAGAAGATGAGGAAGAGGATGAAGGCACATCCGTTGCAGCGGGGAGGGTACTAAACCGTAACCCCGTGGACATGCCAATTAACGATGAGACTGGGGAGTAGTACGCTTCCGCGCCGGCGGAGAGGAGGGACAATGGCTGTGTTGACGCGGTGGGAGTGGCGCGGGGATCCGGCCCGAAGTTCCAGAGGCCGCGCCACCCGAACAGGGCGTTGTCCGTGCTGAAGAGGTACTCGTTGCTGTATTTGCCGGTGTTGTGGGAGAGTTGTGTGAGGAGGGAGGCCTGCGGGGCGGATTTGGATAACGGGGGCCCCCGCGTGGAGCAGACGGCCAGGGAGAGCTGCATGGTCGGGGAGATGCGGCGGAGGAAGAGGGCGTTCAGGGTGGTCGGTGGGGGGAGGTGGAGGGTGGCGTGGAACAGGGTGGCTTTTTGGGAGCGGCCATGGTTTCTATTGGTATTGTCGTCGCTACCGGGAAGGTGGTTGAGGTCGTCGAGGATGGAGTCGACGCGGAAGTTCTCGATTGGGGCGACGGGGGCTTGCACTTGTCGGTAGCCGGGGGAAAGCTTGCGGAGAGGGATCAAGGCGCTGCGGCTGGCGGCGTGGTTTAGGGGTACGGTGCTGAAGAGGTATGATACCGAGCCATCGATCAGACCAACCGTGCCGAGGGTGTAGCTCGTCGCGAAGTGCGGCGTGGACAGGGAGGAGAGATGGACGCGGAGACGCTCCGGCGTGGAGAAATCAAGGAGCGCTAGACGAATACCATGAGCATGATGAATAAAAGGGGGCTACAAGGTGGGACACACACTGCGCAGTCGCTGTCAGCGACGAATATGAATTGTCGCGGTTCCAGTTGGTCGCCTCGGCGAACGCAAGTTGGATGTAATCCATGAAGTCGAGCATTGTCGGGGATAGAGACAAAGAGATTCAATTGAACGTATGTCCGCAAGCCAATTGCTCAGCATATACACTCTACGACATGCTGATTCGTCTTCGCAACCGGCCTCGTTCCAAAACAAAGCGCAAAAGGCAAGATGGAGTGTAGGAAGTCGAACGATGACGAACAGAACGAGGAGAAAGACTTCCAGTTCCCCATCAGCTCGTTTCTCCAAGCGGACTAGCGGGGAGTCGGGGCGGATAAGACCCCGCATCAACGATAATCCGGCTGTTATCGAAAAGTCAAAAGACAAGAAAAAAATCACTGGATGGGAGGATCCACTTCACTTCCAGAACCCGAGTTCATATTTAATTTCTGCTTTTCCCTGCCCTCCATTCTGCATCATATCCAGGGAAACACGAAGGTTGCTGTCCAAAATTACGATTCTTTCAGTTATTTAGTTCCTTCCACACCACACCGACACAATGCCCCGCTCCAGGCGTGCCAGAGTCGTGCACGAGTCCAAGACCGCAAAGAAGTCGCACAAGGAACAAACCAGACGCCTATACGCTAACATCCGAGAATGCATTGAGAAATACGACCACCTGTTTGTGTTTGGGGTTGATAACATGCGCAACACATACCTGAAGGATGTGCGTACGGAATTCGCTGATAGCCGGTAAGTCCAATCTAAAAACTCCAATTCTTATTGATGGGTCCGATTACCACCATATCCCAAAAACCTTCCTCAACCTCAAACAACTCACAACACTTTCCTCGAAAAACAGACTCTTCTTCGGCAAAACCAAAGTCATGGCGGTCGCGCTGGGCCACACGCCGGAGAACGAAGCTGCGCCGAACCTGCACAAGCTGTCGCCGACGCTGACGGGCGCCGTCGGCCTGCTCTTCACCTCGCGCGACCCGGCCACGGTAACGGACTACTTCGACAACTTCCGGCCGCTGGACTACGCCCGCGCGGGCACGGTCAGCACGCGCGCCTTCACCATCCCCAACGGGCTGGTGTACTCGCGCGCCGGGGAGATCCCCGCCGCCGAGGACGAGCCCGTCAGCCACACGATCGAGCCCGAGCTCCGCAAGCTGGGCGTGCCCACCCGCCTCGTCAAGGGCAAGGTGATGCTGGAGCTGACCGACGACCAGGAGGGGTACCCCGTGTGCCGGGCCGGCGAGGTGCTCGACTCGCGGCAGACGACGCTGCTCAAGATGTTCGGCGTCGTCTCGTCCGAGTTCCGGGTCGCCTTGAAGGCGCACTGGACCCGGAGTACGAATGAGGTCGAGCTGTTGGCGAAGGATGAGGATGGCATGGAGGAGTAGTTGACGAACCAGAAAGAAAAAAGAAAATGAACCAACTCAGGAATACCTATCATCTTTTATCATGTTTTTCTTTTCTCTCTTTTCCACAGGTCTGCGGGGCGGGTCTCTTTCATATACACCATTGTTTTTGTTTCTCATCTAGAAAAGTTTCATTTCCCTTTTATTTATGATTCTCCTTCAATTACCCCCCTCCCCGCCCGTGTATAGAGACTGAAGAATAGAAATTAAGTGCCTCGGCTTAGCGTTTAAGGCTGGTTTGGTGCCGGCGCATGAGCATGAACAGACACTGCACAGCGCTTTTGATTTCAATGGGTTGAACGTATGCGAAATGAAGAGGTAAATTATTATGGCCAGCCTGGTCCTAGGGTCTAGGCCTTCATCAGGGCTCTCCCGGATCTTTTCGCAAGAATACTACAATGAGCGCATTACATCGAGAAAACCTGTTGCTACTATCCACCATACCCTGACGCGAGTAACCAATCATTACCTTGATTTTTACCTCTGTGTGAAGATCCCTGGTATCGGTCATTGCTGATGGAAAACCCTACCTGATCTTCTTACCTGAACGTCTCAAGTCCCGACCCAACCACGATTCCGCCTGAAGAGAATGTTAAAGATCTAACGTACATACTTACCCCACAACGAGAGAGTAACGGCCGTAGTAAAGCCCAGGAACAAACATAAAGCACAAAGGACATGAATGTTAATGAAGACACGAGAGAAAGAGAAGGGAGCAGAGCATGACGAGCACTGATAGGAAATTGCGAAGCGTCTGATGCGGGAGTAGACATCGATCGACTTGATGTGAATGAGACGTCTGCTGGTGCTGCCGTGGATACCTCCTGACAAATGTTATGGAAAGATGTTGCGACGTTCGACTGTTGTAGGAAACAGCCTAGTTGGTTGTCTGACTGACTCATTGACGCCCAGGCTCTTATGATCTGAGGCGGTGTTGGCTGGCCTTACCCTTGTCGACGCGGGAGGACGAGAAAGGAGATCAATCAGGAATACCCACCACCAAACGGTCATTGGATACTAAAATGAGGAAGCCCTCCGTCAAAGCAGTTCAGTACCTTCTCTTGGCGCGAGGGTCGTCGTACGAGTCGTCCTCGTGGTATCTCTTGCGCCCGTAATCGTCGCCACGGCTTCCATATCTATCGCGCTCGCGGTCACGGTCACGGTCACGGTCGCGGTAGCTACCGCGATGACTGTCCCGATCACGGTCTCTGTAGCGATCACCACCCTCACGGTCCCGGTCTCGGTCCCGGCGGTCGCGATCACCGAAGCTGTCCCGGGGTCTGATGGGTTCACGGTTGCTACCAGTGCCTCCCCGGTCTTCACGGCCACCAAATCTGCCACCTCCACCGGGGCCACCGGGGCCACCGGGGCCACCGAAGCCACCACTGCGTCCACCTCCGGGACCCGAGGGAGCGTTGGGAGGAGCCTGTCCGCCGAAGCCGTTGCGGCCTCCTTGGTACCCGACACCGCCGCGAGGACCGAAACCACGATCGTTACGGAAGCCTCCCCGGCCGCCTCTGCCACCGCCAAAGCCACCTCGGAAACCACCGCCAAAGCCACCGGGGCCAGAAGGAGCGTTGAAAGATCCAGGTCCAATGGGCCGGGAAGGCAGAGCCTTGGTGTAACCTCGTCCTCCAAGACCACCGCCAAAACGACGGGGCTTCCAGCCCTTGACAGTCCGACCACGCTCAACATCTACCAGAACCCGGCGATCCTTGATGCGAATGCCATCTGTCTCTTTGTAGGCCGCTGGAATTCGTCAAGAAAAAAACGCTAGGTTAGCAATCAAGTAGCAAGGGAGATTATTATACCAGGAGTAGTCATCCGGGGTAATCGGCGACTAGATCTGTAGCAATACCTTTCATGTCCTTTTCGCGCTCATACACGATGAAAGCATATCCTCTGTGCGCTTTCTTCGAACCCTTTGGCGTTACGGTGTCCTTGACGATACGAATCTGATGATGGTCAGTTTAGCTACTCCGATAAGCGCGCGTTCGGGAGACGCAGGTAACCATACTCTCTCAATAGGGCCAAAACGGCCGAACTCCCGCTCCAAGTCCGACTCCTTGACATCGTAGCTCAGTCTGGCAACGAAAAGGGTCCTGAACGGGTCTCCGCGAGCTTGTTGGTCATTCGACGGATCATCTGTGGCGCGGCCAACGGATATCAGCAAAACCGGCGGTTCACAATACATCAAGAGGTAGGATAATAATCAGACGAGAGATGCATACATCCTTCGAGCCCTTCTGTGACTTGCTTCTCCATGTTTTCCTTCTTCTCCACCTTCTGTCGCAACTTGCGCTGAATCCAGCTCTCTGTGGCATTGTAGGGGACCTCCTCTTCGTACTGCTTCAGCTCGGGCAGGAATTGCGCAATCCCACCGATGGAACTCTTCTTGCAGTCCTCGGGGGCCCGATTGATGGGCGTGACATAGCGGAGGGGCGGGCGAGGCTGGAACAGCGCCAGAAGCGGAGGGGGGAGCTTGTCCGTCATTTTGCGCCCTTGTCAGGTCACAAGAGGTTTCGGATGCGGGAGAATACTCGAAAACTCTCTATTCAGGTATTATCTGACGGAGACCATCCAAATAACTGGGGATTTTTTTCGGATGTGTTGGAGGATCGAATCGAAATTCCCTCTTCTTTTGAATCCCGACCTTCTGTGGTTGGGGGTGAGATGAGATGAGGTAAGTGTCGAAGCTCCGGGAAGTACTGAGTGTTGGATTCGAGTTTCGCGTCGTTGGCGTCCTTTCCACGGGAGTTCCAGTTGTCTTGGCACCGGTCGAGAACCGCCTAGTCGCGGTAGCCGAGTTTACCGCCCTGGCCAATGATGGGCGGGGATTCTCGGGTGCGCCGCGCCGCTGAAAAGTCCCCGACCAGGGTGTCACGGGCTCTGGAGATTGCAGTGTGGAAAGTCGTTCGACCGGCCAAAACCAGACAACAGTGACAATATACAGCGCCATGCCTGTCCAAGGGATCCGGACGGTGACGACCGCCAGAGTATGTTCTGATCCTTGCCTCTAGAACCTTGAAGTATCCTGAAGAATCGGACTAACGCGCTTGTTCAGAACGGTGTCGGAGCCTTTATCCTACAATGCAAGCAGTTGGACTTCCACTACTGCGACTGGGCTGGTAGCTCTCGCGGCATGGTGTATGTCTCTTCCCCAAGTAGCCAGTCTGGAGTGGCTTGAGAAGCATAATCTGGAGGCATAAACTGACGGTTCTCAACTTTACACAGTTCCTTCCTCAAGCACCACCTCCCCTCTTTCGCCAAAGCCAACCCCCAGATCGAGATCCGAGTATCGCCCCGGCCACACAAGCACCCCGTCATCAAGGGCCACTACATCAACGGCCGAGAGAAGGCGATCTGTGTCCGCAACCTCGAGCCCGAGCAGATCTTCAACAAGGCGAATCTGCTGAAGGCGGCCAGCGGCGAGAAGACGAAGCGCACCAAGAAGCCCATCACGAGTCTTAACGAGAGTGTCAGAGGTATCTGGGACCCTTTCCACGGTGGCCTCAAGTCGGTGTAGGTGGGAATTGCGTATCTGGTTACTGCAGTGGTGTTACAATTTGGAAACTCTTTTTGTTTGGTTTATTCGTTATGGGCTAGCTTGTTTTCATGCTTCGGCATTCCCTTCTCCCGCGGGGGAACCCCCAACGTGGTTCTGTCTTGCAATCGGATATGTATCATATGTACAAATTGCTTTTTAATTTGTTCCTACGGGTATGTGCTATCTTGGAAAAGCGTCATCTAAGTATATTGGAACAATATCATTATCCACATGTATATGCAAGGCCAATGCATATCGTATCCGGACCAGAATGCCTAAGACCGATATCGACAAGAAACATGGTGCAACCCTTCGACTAAAGACCGGAAGGGAGGAATGAACATTAGAAATGAGAAGAAAATGGGGTATCCTGATGCATCGTGGTCAAATGTTATGAGAATGTGAAAGAAGCCCCGCAGTTAAACGCCAGCGACATGCAACCAAATGCAAACCTGTTCCCATGACTCCCAAATCCTCAAAAATGCAGCAAGATGGACAAAGGGTCAGAGGTAGATTTGAAGCATGGCTTTGTGTGAGCTGACTGGTTTGCCACACTCTGGCACCTGACATACAGAGAATGGTTTTGTGGAGGACGACTTTTTTGATTTGGCCTTGGAGCGGTGGTGGGCACAACGGCCACAGTATACCTGTGCACGTTAGCAGTGGCCTTGCAATGGTCGAAGGGAATGAGGAAGGGTACGTACATGTCCACATTGCTTTGCTACCCATATTTGCTGCCTAATCTCATCGCCAACGCCCAGCTCCCCGTCGCAGTTGGGGCATACCACAACGTCATCCTCTTCAAGGGTCCTTGTGAATCCATCCGGTGGAGGGCTCGGCGGCTTGTAGGCGCTCGCCGGGGGTCTTTCAGGTCTTCTCACGTCAGGTCTTTGCATGTCGAAATTAAACGTCAGGTCAATAGCGCCCGCTGGATGCTCTCCGATATATGATACGTCCACATCTGGTGGCCGCAAGACTCGATGTCGTGCGGGGAACCTGCCCTGTGACATGTTGAAGATCCTAAATAACTGTGGTGCCCATTCTGGAATCGTCGAGGATGGAGGAGGTCGTGAAGGCCGAGCGGTAGCACCAATAAACTGAACCTCCGGGCTGCTGGGAGGTTCATCTTGCGTCAAGTCTTCATATTCTTCTTCCAGATCCACCACTACCGGGACCCTCGATTGTGAGATTTGTGTGGAGTGATCTTGGTGGTCATTCCGAGCATCTTGAGTTGCGTTGGGCTGAGGAGGATCTGAGTCCAGGGTCAAGTCGATGACTTCTTCTGCGTTGGGGGTCGCCGATGCGATGGGCCGACGAAAGTCAAAGCCATCTCCGGGATACCGCCGTCGTGGTGGCGAGGGCGGAGGAAGCGTCCTGGACGATGAGGACTCGCCGCCGGAAAATTGTGGTGGTGTAACTCTTGCTATTTCATGATGCGGTCGCTGCATAAAAGGTCAGTTAAATTATCGATAACTCAACGAGGCCGAGATGGGTGTACCCCGCCTGAGGGGAAAGATTGAGGGCATGCGGCAAAATGGGCGGACTAGCGGGGAGAGAAGGAGACTACCAACCTTTCTTGGCCTAGAAGTCACAAATTGAACACCTGAATCGTCACTCATGATGGGCATCCGAGTGATAAATGAAACAGCAGATGAAGCCCCAAGCGAGGGGAAGTGAGGAAAGGGAGAGAGAGAGAGGAGAGAGAAGTGGAGAGAGAAGAGTGGGAGGTTGTTATCAAAGAAAGGCCGAGCGGAGTTTAGGCCTCATTGCCGGCGGTAGACGGTGGAGGCCATAATGGTTGCTTAGTAGGCAGTGGAGGTGAAGAACTGAGAGCGGTTAGAGGTTCATATCAGTGGTAGTCCTTTTAGTTTTTTGGTTTTTGGCTGGGTCCCGGCATATCGGCTCCCTTGGGTTTCTTTTCCTCCGGTTGAACCGTGGTGGTGAATAATCAGTTTAATCAAGGGTTCGATAACTAGCTAGTTGTGTACAGTACACTGACTGTATGTAACCGGTGACGCTGCCAATAGCCTTTTCTCAGCCGGGATTTTGCCCGCTCCAACAACAACTGGCCAAAATTGGGTGACAACTCGGTTTTGTTTCTATATGTGGTCAGGCACCACCAAAACTTATTTTGTTCTGTTTATTCTGGTTCGTTGGAATTTAATGATCAGGTTCATGGTCTGGCTCGTGGGATGGAAAAGCAAAACACGAAAAAAAGAAAGAATCCAAGCAGAGACGCCATTCACAAATGATCAAATGAAACCACAGCCAGCTAGAATTACAGAATAATCATTGTTGATTTTTGATCCAGATTCACCAGGTATCAAACAGAATTACTGTGCGGTAAGCTCCGTCACACCTCCCTCAGTGTTCAGCGCCACAATGCTCTGAGCAGCAGAACCCCAGACCGCTGCCACCGCGGGTACGGCGCTCCGCAGGGACTCCGACCACGATTTGGCCGCCTTGGAGTACTGGTTCACCGTCAACCCGCTGGGTCCGGCCGTGAGCAGGAATTGTCCGGTGTAATCCCAGTTGATGGAATCAACCTGGCTGCCTGTCTCTATCACCTTGATCTCCTGACCGTTGCGAAGATCCCAGATAGACACAGTGGTGGAGTTCTCAGCCACGGCAGCCAAGAAAGTACCATTCTCGGAGAAGAAGAGATCCTTAACAGGAGCGGGCATGGCGAAGCTCGCGGCGGCAGCACCGGTCTTGACATCGAAAATCTTGATTTGGCCATCCTGACCACCGGCAGCAAGGAGGTGGCCATCAGGGTGGAAGTGAATGGAAAGGAGGGCTAAATCAAACATCGCGCGTTAGTTGGATTCCACCCAGTAAGGGACTTCCAAAGGGCTGCTTACAAGCATCGCTAAAGATCTGAGTGATAACAGAGTTCGTCGTCAAGTCATACAGCACGTAGCTCTTGTCGGCACCAACGGAAGCAACGATGTCGCCAGTGGCATGTACAGCCACAGCCGTTGCGGCTCCAGCGTGAGAGTTGAAGTTCGCAATTTCGGTTCCATTCTCAAAGACTTTGACAGAGCCCGTAGACGAAGCAACTATAGCCTTCTCACCAGCCCATGCAGCACTAGTGATGGGTCCACTCGCTGGCAGGACTTGAACCACCTGTTTCTGGGATACGGAGTACACACTGGCGGTACCCTCTGCGCCGCCGACGATAGCCAATTCACCGGACGAGTTGACAGACAACGTCTTTGCGCCGGGCTGGAGAGTCTCGGAGGTTTGGGTAGGCTTGAAGGCGGAGATCGCTTCACTCGTAGCCCAGCCCTCGGGGATGGGACGCTTGCGACGAGTCTTGGAGAGCCTGTTTGCAAGTGAGTCAGCAGCGGGCTCCTGCCAGTTGGTCATGGCACGGAAGACTTACGCAGCCTGTGTACTTTCCACGCGAGCGAGGACGGCTTCGGGCAGACCAGTCGAATCCACCTGCATAGCCTCGCCAGCGCCCTTGGCACTGACAGTAACCTTAGATAGTGCATCGCGGGCTTCGTCCCTTTCTTTCGTCAACCGAGCAATCACCCGAACGGCGGCATCGTGCTGGTAGAGCGCCGCGCTCAATTCCTGCCGGGTCTGTGCCAGAGTCTGTCGTAGCGTGTAGGTCTCAAGAGCCAGGGCATCCCACTCCTCCTGGAAGACGCTGAGCAATGAGGGGATCGAGGTGAGGGTGGGGGGTCTAGGCCGGACAACGCGCTGGGACTTGACTTCGATGAGTTCGTCTGCGGCAAGCTCCTCCCCATTGACGGGGTCCTTGCCGTTCTCCGCAATGTACGCCTCGATGAGTCGCTTCTCGAACACACTGCCTGCTGAGACGTCAGATACGAGTAGGTCGCATTGATGCGCACGCGAGAGGGTGCAACGTACCGCTCTTGGGCGAGACGACGGGCACTTGTGGTGCCTCTCCTGAGACTATTGGCAATTTTTGGTCAGCATCGAAGCTACACAGACGCGTAAGATCCATAGACTCACTTGCGCACAGCATGTTTATGTGAATGTGATGGTTGATGGGGAGGTTGTTGGTTGAAGGTGCAGCTTGCGGGCTCCTTTGGACTTTTCGACCTCGCCCGATCTGGATTAGCCGCACCGCAAGCCTGATCGCTGACGATTGCTTGGCGGTTCAACGTTACCACTCGAGCTCCTTCTTTTCGACCGATGGAGCTTTAGAAAACAAAGTATTGCCTTCTGGCTACCTTGGCTCTTGATCACAACTCGTTTGACAAGAATTCTACACAGCATTGAAGTCAAATTTCACCAGATTACGGAGTGACAGCGTGGCTTTCTACGTCACAGCAGCGGGCGCGACACTAGAACTTAAGAGGTTCCCCACACCCTTGCTGTGAAGCGCTATTGTGGCCGCGTCCTGAGCTGCTTCGATAACAGCTCCAAACCTCATATCTGTACATATGGATAAACTCACTACACTCACTCGTGCATAGCTAACAGACTACATTCCTGGCTGGTCACAATCATGTCCTTCAAGTCAAAAGACCTCGCCTACGGTACGTTCGACCCCAGCAGCATCCGGGTCTCTGAGTAACATGTCGCAGAGGCCAAGGAGCCAGCTTTTCTACAGAGACTTAGAAATCAGTACGGGGACAATTCGGGTCGCCTTGAGAGACCCGTTGCCCGGCCACGGAAGCCGCGCGAGGAACACGACGACGATGGACCTACCTACGTGGACGAAGAGAGCAACGACATCATCTCCAAAGAGGAATATGAAGCTCTTGTGCGAGGAGACAAACCCGCCGGGGAGGATGATCAATCCGAGAAGAATCATAAGGACGAAAACAAGTCCGCAGGCCAGCCCGGGGAGGGTAGTAAATCAGACACTGGGGCTGAGACATCGGCCTCCAAGCAGAACATCGCCGAAATAGGCGGGCCACGCAAAAGAAAACAAGCCAAGGTTATCGGTGAAGACACCCCAGCCGCAGAGAGTGAAGACACCACAAAGAAAGACTCGTCGGGCGTGCGAAAAGCGAAACAGAAGAAGAAGATCAAGCTTTCGTTTGACGATGAGTCATGATGACAGATTTTGACTCATGAACATAGCCCAACAGATGATACCCTAGATCTCAGATCAAATGCTCTATTGCGCTGTATGAATAGACACCTTGCTGGCATATTTGATATGTGCAGTGGCGGTCCCGTAGTTGTAGTTACCGTCAAACCGCAGCAATTAATAATCAGGAAGTGCGTGGAATTCACCAACTTCCTATTCATCCTTCTATTAAGACGTCTCAAGCACAGTTTTTTCTGTCAGTTTACTCTAGTATACCTGACTCCAGTTCGCGGGGTGGAAAGAAGAGAGCCAGGACTCTGACGCAGGACCAAAATCCCGAGACAATTTTCCCCCCTCGAATTCCGCAGCGAACGGCGGAACCAAAAAACCAACCCATCCATTCACTCAATCGAACCTCACTCTTGAAACCGTGGGAGCTGTGTGACAGCACCAATCCGTCTTCAAGATGCCTGTTGTCAATGTAGATGACCTCGTTCGTCTACAACGGAAGCCCAATGATATCCGGAATGTAAGTTCAGTCTCAATTTACCCCTCCATCATCCCACTTTGCATGACATGACGTCGGACTTCCTCGCGCACTCATGTTTCTTTGTCGCAACACAGCCAGAACAACGCTAATGTTCACATTCAGATCTGCATTCTCGCTCACGTTGTAGGTAGCAACCTCTAAAAAAAAAATCTGATCCTGTGGCCGCAAGGGACCTCGAGACTTACAAGTTGATATCATATAGGATCATGGTAAAACATCCTTGACGGATAGTCTGATTGCCACCAATGGTATCATCTCTCCCAAGCTGGCGGGCAAGATCCGCTACCTGGACTCCCGTCCAGATGAGCAGCTCCGGGGTATCACCATGGAGTCGTCGGCCATCTCTCTGTTCTTCTCCATGATGCGCCGTCCCGCGCCCGACGCTGCCCCCGAGCCCAAGGAGTATCTGATCAACCTGATCGATTCTCCGGGGCACATCGATTTCAGTAGCGAAGTGTCGACTGCCTCGCGCCTATGCGACGGTGCCGTCGTTCTGGTCGACGCTGTCGAGGGCGTCTGCAGTCAGACGGTCACCGTGCTGCGTCAAGCCTGGGTGGAGCAACTGAAGCCCATTCTGGTGATCAACAAGATCGACCGACTGGTGACGGAGTTGAAAATGAGCCCTGGTGAGGCCTACTTGCACATGAGCAAGCTGCTGGAGCAGGTCAATGCGGTGATCGGAAGTTTCTACCAGGGTGAGCGCATGGAAGAGGACCTGCAGTGGCGGGAGCGCATGGAAGAGCGCCTCAACAAGAAGCAAGATCACGACGACGAGCAAACGACTGAGTATGAGGAGAAGGACGACGAGGATCTGTACTTTGCACCAGAGAAGAACAACGTCATCTTCTGCAGTGCAGTCGATGGCTGGGCCTTTACAGTTCGACAGTTCGCTGTGATCTACGAGAAGAAGCTCGGAATCAAGCGTGAGATTCTGGAGAAGGTCCTCTGGGGAGACTATTATCTGGATCCCAAGACCAAGCGAGTCCTTGGGCAGAAGCACCTGAAGGGCCGCGCTCTCAAGCCGATGTTCGTTCAACTTGTGCTGGACAGTATCTGGGCAGCATACGAAGCGACGACTGGCGGAGGTTCAGGGCGGGGGTAAGAGACTTTACCTGCTCACGGTTCCTTGTTCGTTTACTGACCGTCAACAGCGATCCAGCCTTGTTGGAAAAGATCACCAAATCTCTGAACATCAACATTCCTCCTTACATCTTACGCTCCCGCGACCCTAAGAACATCATGACCACCTTGTTCTCGATGTGGCTGCCTCTTTCGACCGCTGTCCTGGTCTCTGTCATTGAATACCTTCCTAGTCCGCCCGCGGCTCAAGCAACCCGTCTACCGGCCTTGATTGCAGACTCCCCGGGAGCAGACTTCGTCGACCAGAAGGTGAAGGACGCCATGATCAGCTTCAAGACGGAGCCGAACGAGCCAGTTGTGGCCTACGTCAGTAAGATGGTCGCCATCCCGGAGAGTGAGCTCTCCTCGAGCAAGAAGCGCTCTGGTACCACCATGTCTGCGGATGAAGCGCGGGAGATAGCCCGCAAGAAGAGAGAGGAGATCGCCAAAATGCAGGCGGAAGCCGGCGGTCAGCAGCAAGACGATTTCTCTCGCGTGACGTCCGCCCTCGAACGGACCTATCTTGACGATGCGCCAGCTGAGCCCGAGGAGAAAGAGGACCCCGAGCATTTGATCGGGTTCGCACGTCTTTACTCGGGTACGCTCTCCGTGGGAGACTCCGTGTATGTGATCGCTCCCAAGTTCAACCCGGAGAACCCGCATGCCAGCCCCGAACCCCAGAAGGTTACAGTCACCGATCTGTATCTGCTAATGGGGCGAAGCTTGGAGCCCCTCCAGTCCGTGCCTGCGGGTGTTGTTTTTGGTATTGGAGGTCTTGCTGGCCACGTCTTGAAGACGGGGACGCTCTGCTCGCAACTTGAGGGTAGCATCAACTTGGCGGGTGTTTCGTTGAACACTCCTCCCATTGTTCGCGTTGCCCTGGAGCCTGTGAACCCGGCCGACTTGAGTAAGATGGTCACCGGCCTACGACTTCTCGAACAAAGTGACCCTTGCGCGCAATACGAGGTCCTCGACAGCGGTGAGCATGTGATCCTGACAGCTGGTGAACTGCACTTAGAGCGTTGCTTGAAGGACCTGCGCGAGCGTTTTGCCAAATGTGACATCCAAACCGGTCAGACCATCGTGCCCTACCGCGAGACGATCACCAGCGCCCCGGAGATGGCCGCACCCAAGAACCCCGAGCTTGGCCGCGGTGGCATCCTGGCCGTGTCGCCCTCGAAGCAACTGACCATGCGACTGCGTGTGGTGCCCCTGCCATCGGCTGTCACGGAGTTCTTTTCCAAGCACGTGGGGACCATCAAGCGACTGCAAACCCAGAAACGGACGGCTGCGGAGAACAAATCCGGCGGCATCGACACCGAAGGTACGGCGGAGAGCAGCCAGCCCGTGGAAGCCAGCGAAGCCACCACCGAGGAAGCCCGCGAGGCGACTCTCCTGTCGCTGCAGGAATTCCGCGCCGAACTCAACAAGATCTTCGACGAAGAGGTCAAAGAGGACAAAGAGTTGTGGAAGAACGTGGTCGACCGGATCACGGCCTTTGGGCCCCGACGAGTTGGCCCTAACATCCTGGTGGATGCTACCACCGTGAACACCTGCGAGAAATTGTAAGTCCAGCCAGCAGCAACCAGCAGCGCCCTTTTCTCCACCCAACACTTGCCCCTGTGATTCATTAAGCTAACATTGAATCTCAACACCATAAAAGCCTCCTCGACGACCCCAAACAACAACCCACCGTCACCGCAGACACCACCAACAGCCGCGAGGCCCTGATCGTCCGCGACTTCAACGACAAGATCGCGTACGCCTTCCAGCTGGCGACGGGCCAAGGGCCCCTCTGCCAGGAACCCATGCAAGGCGTCGCCGTATTCCTAGAAGAACTCTCCGCGACCTCCACCAACGGCGAAGACCTCGATCTAGGCCGGCTGACGGGTGAGGCCATCCGCCTGGTCCGCGAGAGTATCTCCCAGGGATTCCTAGATTGGAGTCCCCGCATCATGCTTGCCATGTATAGTTGTGAGATTCAAGCGTCGAGTATGTTATCCCCCCCTCCCCTTCACAAAAAAAAAACCGTCTTACCCCCCCACCCCAAAATCCCTCAAACACAAAGCTAACCCCCCCGGAATAGCCGAAGTCCTAGGCCGCGTCTACGGCGTCATCACCCGCCGCCGAGGCCGCATCCTCTCCGAGACGATGAAGGAAGGCACCCCGTTCTTCACGATCCTGGCCCTCCTCCCCGTGGCCGAGTCGTTCGGGTTCGCCGACGAGATCCGCAAGCGCACGTCGGGCGCCGCCCAGCCGCAGCTGATCTTCGCGGGCTACGAGGCCCTCGACGAGGACCCCTTCTGGGTGCCCGCCACCGAGGAGGAGCTCGAGGATCTGGGCGAGTTGGCCGACCGCGAGAACGTCGCCAAGCGGTACATGGATGCCGTGCGCCGGCGGAAGGGCTTGGTCGTGCAGGGCCGGAAGTTGATCGATGCCGAGAAGCAGAAGACTTTGAAGAAGTAGATCTTTAGATCTTTTGGGGGGG